CGAATTTAAAGTTCAAATAAAAACACTACTAACCAACATAATAATCCAAGACAAATTGTTGCAAATTATCTTATTTTTTTCTTGTGTTTTTATTGTTATTTCCTGAAAGTACACGTAATTGTGTTCCATTCATAGTAATAAATTAAAAACAAAAGACTTGTTTTCCATGTTTATAAATAAAAATAAAATACATAAACTAATTATTTTGTGAACTACAAACACAGATTAGTGTTTACTACATTGCTCTTGACATCAACACGAAATGCAGAAGGCTTCCCCATCATCAGAATTTAAGAAATCACATTAACTATCAAATGGTGAAATCATTACCATTGGAAACGAGAGATTCAGATGTCCAGAAGCACTCTTTCAGCCATCATTTATTGGCATGGAAGCATCAGGTATCCACGAGACAACTTACAACTCAATCACAAGATGCAATGTCGATATCAGAAACAAGTTATATTAAGCATCGTCTCCTATGATTGAATTTAATGTACCCAGGCGTTAACGACAGACATGAGAAGGAGAAAGTTGCAGATGAGAAATGAAATGGCATAATCAAGGCTGTTTATGCTTGGTTCAATTTAATTATATTTGTGTAGGTGTTCATTTGGTTTAGTTTTAATATTATTATTGTTATAATCAATAATAATATATAATAAATTTACTATCATTTTTATTATTCAAAGGTTGATTTTTTATAGTTTATTTATAATTAAAATTACTATACAATTTATTATTCTTTTGTCACGCATTGTATAATGTATCCAAAACTGCTATTTTTCTCGACTTAAATTGATGTTTTATAGCGTTGTTTTACCATATAAGATAATTATTTTAATGTTATTATTGTGTTAGATGAATAACACACAAAATTAATAGTAAGTAGTGGGTTTTTATCGTAATATTTTGATGTTATTTGGTTCTCTAAGTATTTTTAGTTTGAGTGGAATCCATTTTTTATTTCAACAACAATATTTTTGTCATGTTCTTATTTTATTTTGGTTTGAACCAATCTTATTGGTTATATTGAACCCAAATTGTTGCACTTGTTTTAAGTGTTTTTTATTTTGTTTTTGAAAAATTTGAATATCTGATAGTATTCTTTAATCGATTTTGTTAACAATTTTATTTGTTTATGAAAACAGTTTATTTTCGTATTATTTTTATTACTAATATTAATTTGTTAAATTGTATATTTTATTGATTGAAGGACAAATCTTTAACAAAACCCAATTAATTTGAGTTTATGAATGATGAAATGTTTTATAAATAATTCAAAAGTTTGAATTTGAGTTGAACTATTTTATCAAATATGTCAAAAATCATTCTAAATTGTTCATGAAAAGTCGCCATTATTTTCATTTTTTTGGAAAAGTGAAAATATTTTTTGAAATTTTTTTCTGTAAAAAAAAGAAAAAAATAAAAATTTTTCAGTTCTCGAAGGGTTAAACAGAGAAAAAATATTTATTTGTGGGTTTATCATGGAATTGTGAAGTAAATTCTATTCACCAATTTTTCCATTAAAAATCAGTGTTATAGAAAATATAGTAGTTTTTTTATTTATAAAAAACTTTATTATTTATCTAAGTGGACTTAAATTCAAGGTTCCAAAACAAAATATAATTTGTGGGTTTTAGATTTGATTGGTCCATTGACCCACAAATAGACTTAACCCACAAATATAAAACCCACAAAAAGACACTTTTTAATATATTTTTTATTGAATATAAAGACCTGCGAAATACTTGCAAGAAGCGAAATACCTGCACGAGCCTATGTGGCAATACGTTTTTTCCACAAAAATGGTCAAAAAAGAAAAT